GGTGTTTTAGTTGAGTGCTATGCCAGGGGCCTGATTATTATTTTGATGGACTTAGTGCTTTTTCTTACAAGTGGCCAGGTTGGAAACTCAGGCTTGTGCTTATCATCACGTATGTGGCTAGAAGCCCTAACATCCTGAATGGCCTAACCGAAGGCCCTAGTTTTTTTTGTTTTGTTTTGTTTTGTTTTTAGCTGAGCCATCCTGCCACCAGTTGGCAGCTCAGTGGCAGCTCATCTCGGGCTGGGACTCAAACCGCTGTTGCTCAGAGCTCACACTCTTGAGCGAGCTCTTAACCAACTGAGCCACTCGGCTGGCCCGAAGGCCCCAGCTTTTAAGAAGAGGATTAAGTGGTCTTTACCTCCAGAGCCAGAAACCAAAATGTTTCCCACCTGCCTGAGAAGGAGCCTTATTTCCCACTGCCCCCAAGACTGTTCTGAAAACACATCTGCCCCTCCAGTTGAAAGATGGTAGAGCAGAGAGGTTTCTTTTTTATTCCTCTGTCTGCAACCAGGCAAAAACCCCCACAGAGAACCAGAAATGAAACTCTATCTTTCATAAAATGAGGCCACAACTATAACCTCCCCAGTTATGAGCCAGAGTTTTCTAGAGAAACTGAACCAATAGAATGGAGAGAGAGACAGATTTGTTTTAAGGAACTGGCTCACGCGATAGCTGGGGTTGGCAAGTCCAACATCTTTTGGGCAGGCCGGCCAGCTGGAAACTCAGGAAACAGTTGCTATTGCAGCTCAAGTCTGAGGCAATCCTCAAGTCTGGAGGCAGAATTCCTTCCTTCTCAGGGGACTGCAGTCTTTTCTCTAAGCCTTCAACTGATTGGATGAGGCCCACCCACATTATGAATGTAATCTGCTTTATTCAAAGTCTACTGATTTAAGGTTAATCTCATCTAAAATCTCGCAGAAACATCTAGACTGGTGTTTGACTAAACAACTGGGCACCATGGCCTAGCTCAAGTAGACACATGAAAGTAACCATTACACTGTGTCAGCCACAGTAGCTGTCAGATAGGCAGCCCGGGCTGGTGACACCTGGGCCAGATCAGGCTAAAGGTCAGAGTGGACCCCTGCAACTTCCAGAGAGAGTCCAGATTCCTCCAAAGTAAGTCTCACAGCCTGGGTGGAGGTCACTATGCTCCTCTGCCCCACCAAGTGACACAGAGCTAACTGGGGAGAGACACACACACACGTCATCACTGCAAGAAGAATATCAAGGGGGGCTGGTGGGAAAAACCTTTTGAGCAGGGGTGATATTTGCCCAACAGCTGCCAACCTTTGGGAACTGCTGAGAGGTACAGGCCAAATCATTTCTCACATACAGCCTGCTACAGAGCTTCGCTCTGAGTCAGGGATACTTCCACTGCCCCTCTCCCTTTTCAGGATCCTTCAGCAAAGTGCTAACCCAAGAAATATGCTTCCCCTTAAAAAATAATCAAACATGGGCCAGCTGAGTGGCTCAGTTGGTTAAGAGCACGAGCTCTGGGCAACAGGGTCACTGGTTCAATTCCCACATGGGCCGGTGAGCTGCGCCTGAACTGAGCTGCCGCGGAGCTGCCAACAAGTGGCAGGATGACTCAGCTGGTGAGAGCATGTGCTCCTAACAACAAGGTTGCCAGTTTGACTCCCACATGGGATGGTGGGCTATGCCCACTCGCAACTAAGATTGAACATGGCACCTTGAGCTGAGCTGTCCTGAGCTGCCGACCGGCAGCCAGATGGCGACTGGACTTGGAGCTGAGCTAGTTGCGCCCTCCACAACTAAGACTGAAGGACAACAACTTGGCTGCTCCCCTTCTCCAATTCCCCAACACTGTTCCCCTTCTCCAATTCTCCAATAAAATCTTAAATAATAATAATAATAATCAAACACAACCAGGGTTGATTGATATTTGCAATAGCAACAAATACTCCTAAGCCTATACCATATAAAACAATCCAAGGTAGATTGTAAATGTAAAAGATAAAATAAAGCTTTTGAAAGAAAAAAATAGTTAGGTAAAATTTTACTAAACAAGACACAAAACATGAACCAGAAAGTATAATGGATAAATTAAACTATACTCAAAAGAAGACCTTCTTTTCATCAAGGATCTAGTAGACTGGAACACCATTAAGCAACTTAGCTTGATTTACATTTATAAAACACTCCACTCATCAAGAGCAGAGGTACATTCACCAAAATAAAAGTAGTAAAGAGCAGAAATCAATGAAGTCAAAGACAAAAAAAGAGAAAAAAATCAGAAGCTAGTTCTTTGAAAAGATTAATAAAAGTACCAGTCTGGCTATAGGTTTATCAAACGGGAAAAAGAAGATAGAAATTAACAGTATTAGGAATTAATGGTGCTTTATCATTATAAACCTCTCAAGATATTCCAACAATAATAAGGGAACATTAAGAACAGTTTTATGCACATAAATTCAAAAAGGTAGAGGCAATAACCCAATTTTTTGAGAACCACAAACTACCAAAACTCACTGAAGATGAAACAGGAAATCTGAGTAGTCCTATAACTAGTAAAGATGCTGAAGTTGTAATTAAAACTCTTCCCAAAAAAGGAAATCTGGTTTCACTAGCAGATTTTACTAAACATTTAAAGATATAACAATTCTACACAATCTCTTCTAGGAAATACAATAGAAGAGAACACTTCTCAACTCAGTTTATCAGGCTAGCATTA